AGTTCCATCAAGTTTTGCTTGTCGAAAGTCACGTCTACAAAACATGAAAGAATATTAAAATTTATATTTGTTTTATCTCTGATCATACCTTAAAGTATCAGTGGTACGAGCTTGATAAGCAGCAACATCTGTGGGTTTTGGTCTTCCAGCACTGAAATCAATGATAGCATGAATGATACCATGTGTTCCATTCATAGTACGTGTCCATTTCATTGATGGTAATGATATTCTCTATATTTCTAAGCAATTTAATAAAGATAGAAGTTAGTATTTACTTACATCTGCAACACTTAGATAAAAACTAGTGAGACTTTCTTCATATCCTCTTATAGAATGGCCAGTATTAGGTATTCGTCTGTATATAAAACATATTATTTAATTTTGTTTTTTCTTATCTTACACAGTTCTCTTACCTTAAATGAGATCCACCAGTAGCAAGTTGCAAATCATTCCAGAAAAAATTCTAAAGATAATTAAAATTTTAGTTTTCATCTAACTAAGAAATGATGAATATAATTTTACTTCACTATCAGGTAGAAAAAATTCATCACCAGCACCTTGAAGTTGAAAAATTTTCGTTTTGCTATATCGATTCAAAAATGCTATAGAAACAAAAAATTTTTTAAAAGTAATCTAACAAATTATTCGATGTCTTACAGTATGGATCAACCATTTCACCTAGTTTATCAAAAATAGAACTGTTCATATAACGAGTAATATTCATCTCATAATAATCATTAAATGCAAATGTCCATCCACCAAGAGACTATTAAAAAGAATGTATTATTTTCATCGATGAAAGTAATACGTACGCGATAATGTGACATCATGCTCTAAGAAAAAAAAAAACAGTAAAACAAAAATTTACTGATTCATATAGTCAACTTCTATCTTACTGGTCGAATGTTCAATAAATCCATAACGATAGGAACTGCAGCTACCACTCGTGTATTATCAACAGCTGCAGTTGTCCATGCTAGAATTCTAAGTAAAATACTAGGAAAATTCGTATGGGTATATATATACTTACTTGTCCATCCACGCTATAAAGTAAGAGATAACAATGAAAATTTGAAACGTAATACGACATGAAAGGACAACACTTACTTTTGAAGCACCACCAATAACAAATTCTTCTGGTACAACAAGATTTTGTTGTTTTAAAAATTGTTCAATAGTATCCATCGCTCGTACGACTGCCTATTTATTTTATCAAAGAAGTAAACAATTTCAAACATAGATCAACAATGAAATATATCCAACTGTGCATCGTCAATCAAAATGATATTTTGTTCATAAGAAGAATTTAATGAGACTGGACAAAATCTAAAATGATTTCTTCTCATAGACCTTCCTTATGAATATAAGACTATTTGATCGGATGCAGTTTTAATGAAAACGAATTGTTGCTTCGCGAAATATTGAATATTCAAAAAAAAAAACGAATCGTATGCCACAGAAGTCATAAAGTCAGTTTGTCTTCAGTATTTGATACCTCTAAAACGAACCATTGGCTTTGGATGAAACTTTCAGGATATTCTTGGGATCAAAAAACCTATTCATAGACCAAAACTCTAATGGTAGTTCCTTTTTTTTAATTTTTCTATGAAAACCTTGCTATAAGTCGAAAATCTGATAAAATGTTCACAATTCTATAAGCAAGATCTATGAAAAGAAGTCTATTCAGACTTGTTCCAGTCTTAATGAGTCTTATTTATAGACAAAATATCATTTGATTGATAACTAACAGTTGGATATATTCCTCGGTAAGATTATTTTTTTTTCTGCTTTTTATTTACCTTAGTCATGGGAAAACGAAGAAGCACTTTTGGATCAGTACCATTGATATCAAAAAATTTTTTCCATGTCCAAGCAATCAGTGCATCTTCATCTCGAGGCTTATTAAATGGATCATCCTTTAATAACCCAATTATGATAGATATGATAGTTAGATTATAAAATAACATACCCAAAAGCGAAATGGTTGATTAGGAATCTGATGAATCGTAGCTGTGACACTATCTGTACTCAATGCAAGATTCGTCATTGGATTCGTTGCAGGCATTCTAAAATTGATCAGAATGAAGTATACAGAAAGTTTGTATATTTTCATGAAACAAAAATTATACAATCTAATATGCAAATTTTCTGACAGGATTCCTTAGAGTGAAAAAATTTCATATATTTAAATATCGAATGTATTTGATTTCGTTTTATGATTTATTAATAAGATATCATCGATAAATGAATGTATCGGAATTTTTTTATCATATAAAATATACTACAACATAGACTTACGCATCAGTATTATCTCCATGTGTAATTAATAAGAATGCTGTTTTATAACGACGAACAATTCTTGGAACTGTTATAGTCAAATAATGCCACCAGATTGGATGTGAAGAAAATGACTCTATATAATAGAAGATTAATTCAAGATTCTATAAGAATATGATTTTACCATCAAACCATTTTTGTGATGTCATATTCAGTACGTAGAGTGTATGGGTCGATAATGGATAAGTTTGAAGACGTTTCCAACTGAACATTGGATCAGGTGTATTGACATAATCATCGAGAGGTGTACCAAGACAATTATTCGAGGCAACAACAACAATAACGATAAAAATAAGATTGATAAGATACATCATAGAATGTGATCAACGACGATTTGTTTCTGTGTTTTTCTTTTTATTATTAAATGATTTTTATATGTATCGGTTTCGTAAAACGAAGACTTATTTTTGTCAGCCTATTTATCATTGTAATTGTGTTATTTGCTTTTGCTTAGAGCAATGATATATTGACATTTGATGCCACTATTAAGTGTTTTTTGTTCTATTCAATAGGCTTCAAGAATAAAAAAATTGAATTAGACGCAACCTCTTCTCTTATGTCTAGTATTTAGATGTTCCATTCGAAAATTTTACATTAGAATATGTGTATTTTTTTTTGTTGATTTTCGACTTTGTAAATAGTCATAATATTTACTCAACATAGTTGAATATTTAGGGTTTTTCAAACAATATTTATATTAAAAAAAAATGATCGATTCTTCTAAAATAGCAATAATAACAAAATAATATATTTTACATGTGATACAATTCGAATATGATTATTTATATATTCTTTTCTTACAAATAATATAAATAAAACATCATTATTTAAGAAACGTATCAAAAAATTTATTTACATTGTTTTATGTCGAATCGTGCGTCTTTCACATTGTAATTTCGACTGAGTAAGTATTTGATATAATAAAGATTTATGTTGTCAAATTCAATGTAAAAATTCAATATCATCATCATAATAGATACATCTGTACATCATTATATCTCGTAGAAAAACATCATTTGAAGAGTTGTTACCTAAAATATTATCGATACTTGATTGATAATTTGCAAAAATTCATTATTTTATTGTTATAATATTACAGTCAATTACCATATGAATAGCATGACTTGTCTAGTTCGAAATTTTTGTGCATATCAATGATGATACAGATGTCTTTTATTAAATGTCTATAGTTAATAATTTGTAATCATTTTTTGTATGATTAACATTTTTTACATGAAGCTAACAGTAAAAAGAGAATAAAAAATTAATCTTTCAATTTGAAGTATTCAGTTAAATAAGAAATTTCAGATTTGATTGGTTATTTCAATAGAAATCTTATGATTAAAACTATGACACTTCAGTACAAATAGTTTTATTTCTATTTTGAAATATAAGTTTACATATAATTTCAATTCACATCAAATTGTTACACATCATCATTATTTCATTATCAACTAGAATTAAAATTATTTTAAAACATCGACTTCTTCTTGATATTATAATGATCAAATAATGATAATGGACGGAACTTAGTCAATATTAGTCTATTAATAGTATCATTGTGTAGAATACTTTTTGAGAATTTTTTCATAAAAATAACCAATATTTGGCAGGTTAAGATGGTCATTTAATCGTACTAAACTATATAAATTCATTATTAGCATTGACACAATGACATAAAGTGTTAATTTCATAGATATGCAATTGTAATAGAAAACTCGTAGTTTTTTTTTTCTTACGATGACATCTCAATTGAACTAATATTCAGTTTTTCGATGACATTGACACGCTCATTCCGCTCTGATTATTTATATTTTTTTTCTTGTATTGATTTTGTTCTAGATAAAAGTAAAATTTCATGTCACTATGAGATATTCTTCAATAATATTCATTATTAGAAGATAATTATCAAATTATTTTTCTAATTCTGTTTTAAAAAATGAAATATAATAACTTTCAAATGTGCTTTTGTCTTAACTGCAATATGTTTCATAGATTCAAATATTTTTTATTAGTTTAAAATGGTGATAAAAGCTATGTACATAGAATAAATCCAAATAAATATCGTTTCATATTTCCATTAAAATTGACTTTTAAGTACAAAATTAAATCAAAATATATAACGAAAGTACTATTCAAATAATATAATAAAATCACTTTGTTCATAAATAATCTATTTTATGCAATTATATGCGTACATGTTCAACAAGGAATAAAGACATTAGTTTTCTCTTGATAATATTTTCTTTTATCAAGTACATTATTTTAGAATTAATTATAATCATTGAGACATCAATTATAGTTTCCTTATAAATCTGTCTAAAGCTGATATATGTGATAAATAAACAGATAATTAAAAATTGTTTATCGAGGAATACATGTCTTATTATAGAAAAATTATCATTAATAGAATTTCACTACAAAATATATCAAAACAATAATGTAAAATGAAATAATTATATTGAATGATTTTTTTTTGTGTATATGATAATTGTAAAATATTTATTGTAAATAAAAGAATATTTTATTTATTTTTCTTTATATATATACAACTAGTTAAATATTTTTAAATGTATGACTTTTTTTTTTTATTTTCATAAAAGAAAAAAAATTCTTTTACCGATAGGAATAGACGAAAGTATATATATATAGTAATGATTATTTTAAGTAATGTTAGTTGATCGTTTTCCTCGCATAGCATAAAATAATGCTGCACGACGTTGTGGATAAACTTTTAACATATTAGCAAGAAGATTTTTGAGTTCTTCTTCAGAATTATTATTTAAATTTTCTTGTTCTAATATATTATTTAAATGATCTTTTATTATTGTTGTTGGTCGCATTCTATATCCAATCGATGTTTCCTTCATATGATGACTTGTACAATTGACTATCGGAAGAAGTACAAGAAAAATAACGATAATTGTTAATAAATATAAATGACGATGATAATTTGTGAACATTTTCTTTATACTTAAATAAAAATATAAAAAAATTATAAATATTATATTAATATCTATATAGAAGTTTCTCAAATACATGAAACTAAAAATGTGACTACCTTGGTCTACTATGTAGAATGTTTCTTTTTACATATATATAAAAGCTATTGCTATAATTTTTGATAATAAGATTGAGTATTTCGAATAATAATGAATATACGCTTCATAAAATATGTAATAATCCTGTCGACTGTTGTTGCTTGCAGGCTATCCTAGATTGATATTTCTTTCTTATTTGAACCCGCACGCACTATCATCAAAGACATCGTTTCTTTTTATCTCTCTCTCTCTCTATCTCTTTTTCTAATGCTCTCTTTTTCAATTATCTTGTTAATAAGATCATACAGACAGTAAGTCTTAAACCTTGGACGGAAAATACATTTCCTTTAGAAAATTGTTTTACGTTCTTTTTTATTTTCTTAAAAGATTAATGTCAAGGTATATCACGTTTTGAAAATAAAAATAAAATATAGACAATAGATTAGCTCAATTTTTATTGATTTAATTATTTATTAAAATACGTAATTTATTTAATGAATTAAATTTGAAAACATATAAAATATGTCTAAATTTTCTGTTTTATACTTTGTTTTATCTTAAAAACGCAATTGTCAAAATAAATATTTTCGTGAAGAGTACAAAAAACAAAGATGATAAGAATTATTCATATAATTCTATTCTTATTATTTCTTATTGAATATGGATAGCATGTCGAAAAAAACTCAAAATATTATCATTCATCATTTAGATTCAAAGTGATAGCGCTCGATTGTAAAATCAATATACGAAATATTCATATTTTCAATAATAAGGATACTATTATTCAGAATATGATCATATTAGATTGTAGAATGTATCATATATTGCTTAATTTATATGAATATTTTATTGGTTAAAAAAAAAAAAAGAATTTTTAAAACAATATTTTTTGTTATTGATATCTAATTTATGTTCATATTTATCTGATAAAAATGGATTCTAACATATGAACATTGAATTTCTGTATTATCTCTTTATTTCATATGATATATTGATCATCTAGGTTTTGTGATATTTTTAAACTAAAACTGTAGAAGTATTGTCTTTCGGCATATGAAAAGAATCGATAGGATTGCATGTCAAATCTATTACAATGTATATATATATACCTGGACTTGATATATCAAATAAAGAGAGTAAAATGTAACTATAACTTTTAACAACGTTTCTGTAGATTTTCTGAATTTACTCGTTGATCATATTTTTTGCTAGGATCTTTTTGTTTACTATTTCTCCTACTGATGTTTCATAAAACTTATAACCAAAACACTTCAATCAAAAGATACTATCGATATCGAATCTTACAATTCTTCATTGAAGACTAAGAAATTGTTTGTGATAGTCATGTTTGAGTATATTACTCAAGAATTAATATGTTTAAATCAATTGTACTTATCTCAGTAAGAGTAGAATGATTTGTTAAAGAGACGAATTCTTTGAGTTATAAGTTTATTGAAATACTCTTTGCCTATCAAAAAAAAAATATCTAAATTATTAACAAAAGTACACTTAAATTTTTTTTTTTGTTTTAAGAAAATGACTCAAGTACTTATATATGCTTTCAATTAAAATTTTCAAATATAACTTATTTATCTATCTTCATATTATTTAACTTTGTAAAATAGAATTCTTTACATTAATATAAGAAATCAACTTACATCAGTAGTATATTATTTTTAAATATTTAAATTTAGTATGAAATAAATTCTTTTAAATCAATTACTGACTGAATTTTTTTCTTAAAATATAACGATCAAATATAGATCATGAAACATTTTCTTTTTTAATACCTTTTTAGTTTCTTTATAAATAATAGGAAACGTTTTATTCATTAAAAAACTTTCTAAGCAACAGTTATATGAAATGCATTTTATTTGTTGATTGCTAATAGAGAGATATACGGAATACTTACGACTATTATTTGCTATCGATAAATAAGATTCCTTTTAAGAGTGCAAAACGCCTTACTCGTAGATAATAAATAGAAATAGAATTAACAGGAAATGTGACAATTTCATATAACATACTAATCATACATAATTTGGTGAGAAAGAAAATATTAAGTAAAATATTGTGCAAATGTAATAAGAAGAAACTTTCATTTTTTTTTTTTGTTTCTCTTTGATTGATGTTTATGAGTTCTCTCTCTCTCTTGTGAATGTTATATAACTTATTTTTATCATACATTCCTCAATAACATCTTTTAACAAAAAAAAAAAAGAAAAAATGACATAAACGTGAAAATCCTCACTTTTTTTTCTAATATCTCTTTCTCTAATTTGAAGATTAACATACAGAAGATTTTCATTTATATTATAAAGTTAATAATAAAACTGCTATTCTCTATGTTATATGATTAGTATATTATCAAACATAGTTTTTTTTTTTTTTTTTTTAATAATTATTTTCAATATTGAAGTCTTTAAATATTTATTTTTTAATATTTTTCATATTTGCTTGTCATTAGTAATGGTTTTTTTTTAAAGTTTTAACTACAGTTAATAGTCGGATGCTTAGTTAACATTAGAACATCAAATAAATCTATAATGAACAACAAAATTAGTTTCTTCACTATTTTCATTTAAAGTATGCTTACCCCTGTTTACCTGAATTGATTCTTAATTGATCTTATCGCCTTATAAAAGATTGTTTTTCTAACAAATCCGATCTTATGTATATATATATATAGAATAGAACGTCGCAGACTTACACTTTCACATAATAGACTTTCTTTTTTCTTTTAATTTTATGTAGCTTTTTTCTAATCTCAACTGAAGATTGATTAAAATGATGACTGAAGTACTTTGCTTAAAATAGCCTATGATGAATCACAACTAATATCAATACAAATTATACATCTTTCATTATCAATGATTAATATTACAAATGAGCTCATTGGTAAAATGATTTATGATTTAGTTATTGGCTTATCTAAATTTGTATAGTTAGTTATATATCGTCTATCGAGCACTGAGACAGTGATGAAAAGAATTAGATAATTAAAAGGCAGTCAATCAATTAGTAAATTTAAAGAAAAACTAAGCAAATCATAGAATATTGCATTAAACGAGACATGTCTAGTGTGTGTTGATCAATACTGTTCGAAAATCTCTAGCTTCAATTATATTAAATAATGATCAATCATACACTATAATCAAATAATATATTTCCGCTATTCTGATAATCAACATTACCTTGAAGCCAAGTACTTGTACTATAGAATACGAGAGGAAGAAAGAAGATTTTTCTCCTGAAATATCGTTTATGGGTACTTTCTTATATTTTTTATGCCGCATTTTTTCGTAAGTATAAGATAAAAGTTGGAAAGACGATATAAATTAAAAACCTTGATCTTGCAGATGTGTAATAGAAGGAAAATATTTTATTATTCAACCTTCATTCAAATAAAAAAGTGAACGTATGTTGCATATGAACGACATGTACATTTGGCCAAGATAAATAAATGAGAAACTATATCGTGATAAAATCATGTAAAAAAACAAAATGATTTTTACAATGAATTTTTCCATTTACTCGATTTTTCTAATCGTTAATATTAATTCATTTTTCATTGATATGTTATCTAAGATTTCTGCTTCGAGGCCGAAACTGAATCGAATAATCGCTTTGATTGGACTCAGTCGAAACAGATCAAAACACGATATGCCATGATTCGTTTTGTTCTGTTGAGTACAAATCCATCGAAAAAAAAACAAAAGGAAACGGTCAAAAACCAAAAAAAAATTGAAATATATTCAATCAAAGTTTGATAAATACGAACAAAGTATACATCATGTGTTATCTTATTAAAAATAAAGCAAAACAAAATATTGTTCATCATCATAATTCTATTTGGACAGCCATTGAGTAATGGCTGAATACAATACAGTCAAAAAGTGACCAAACAAAAATTTTTTTTACCAAGAAAAGTATTCGAGAAACTCACGAGAGAATATCCCCAACTGTCAAATCGCTTTTCGCTTGTGACTATTACCGTTTAATCGCTCTCGGTGAGTAGTGAAAAAGTCTGTTTTGGTTTGGTTTTCTGACCTTTCCTTGTCGAGCTACGGACGTTTTACTCGATTTATGGTCTATGGGCATAGGTTTGCTGATAAGCTAAATTATCGAATTTCGAGCTGAGATTTTGCTCATAGATAGGTCTTATTGTCACTAGAAATTCACTAAAGTTTGAGCCAGAACGAATGTATCCTTGTCGAAATATTAGCCTCTCATGAAAATTTCCTTTAGCGAAACACAGTCCAAAGCAGGCGTTCTTTTAAAAGTGAATATTTCAGTAAGGATACGTTCGTTCTGACTCAAACTTTGGTGAATTTCTAGTGACGTTAAGATCTATCTATGAGCAAAATTTCAGCTCGAAATTCGATAATTTAGCTTATCAGCAAACCTATGCCCATAGACCATAAATCGCGTAAAACGTCCGCAGCTCGACAAGGGAAGGTCAGAAAACTAAACTAAAATATACTTTTTTACTACTCATTGAGAGCAATCAAACAGTAATAGTCACAAGCGAAAAGCGATTTCACAGTTGGGAATGTTTCCTCGTCAGCAGAAAAAAAGACTTGAACTTTCAAGTGTAAATGTGTAATTAACAGAATTTAGAATCAAGACTGTTTATTTGTTGCAAATAGAAGAAGTAGTTGTAAATATTTAATCAAATGATGTAGACATTTACTCTAATTTAAATATTATTCGATCGGTTCAACACATTTTTCATAGCTGTTTATTTACAAGCTCAAACAAATCTTTTGGTTTGATTGGTTTAATAATAAAACGATATTTTTAGTTTTCAACGATATACATATATTAGAAAAATAAGACCTATTTATAATTACCTCAACATTGATTGAAGATTTGTATCTATTATCTCTGTTGCATCTCTTTAACTTATTCCTTTAAAATATAGCTTTTTATAGAAAGCAAGTTATGTTCCTTTTAAATTTTTTGTAGCAATTAGTTTTTGTTTGTTCAATATTGATAAATGATATATTCAGTGAATGAAATTCTGATCTTTCAATTGTCAATTAGATTGTTGCTATCAGATTCATAAATATTGAACTTTTATGAGTAATTTGATCGTATAAAATCCATTGTTAATTGTACTTTTGGTTTTAAATAAATTAATGTTCTTTGAACTTGTATCAATTGATCACATTTAGAAAATAGAACTCCTTGTGAGTTGAGACGATTCCATCCCATGGAACAGGTAGTGTATAAGTTTTTTTGATAAATATGTCACGGGATAGGAGGGAATAAAAATTTTGGCAAATTATTTCATCTCACCAGACAAACAGCCATTTATATAAGTGTTTTTGTAGAAGAAAAAATAGTCATTATGTTTTCATATAGTCGCCGTTCTTATCTATTGCAGTCTAGATAGTGAATATCATAAAAAAATTTAATATAATGATATTAGATAGAGAATGATCAGATATCACAGAAAAATAGAACATTGTTTTTCATATCGCTACATATAAAGAGAATATTTCTTCAAGCTTTCTATATGGAAAAAGATTTGTCAACTATTACTTTTGGATCATTCTCAACAGTATAATATTTTGTATAAGTAATCAAATAGATGAAGGTATCAATAAATCTCACCTGTATAAAAGCTATTCGATGAATATGATATTTTAAGAGACAAGATGGGAGTCAAAATTTTTAGAAATATCCAATCTCATGAAACGAATTTTTCTGTCCCATACGAAGCCCCGGTAGCAAAGGTAACTAGAAAAGAGAAATAGAAAAGTGAGTAGATTACTCAGAAAAGAATATTAGAAAGTAAGTAGTAAGCATTGTGTAGTCAAACGTGCTTTGGCGCTCTTTTTTTAAGGGTTTTCTGTTGGAAAAAATCGGGAAAAATCTTTTGCAAGAAGGACGTTATCCTCAAGGCTGTCAACTCTCAATTCGCCGCTGTAACAGAGTTAATCGAATCGAATCTGAATAAAGTTTTTCTTCTTTTTGTAGTCTTTGCCTCTTGGTCAAAAAGATATTGATCACTTTAACAGATGTCGCTATAAAACAGTGACTAAGAAATTCATCCATCTGTTTTCGACTCTTTGATTGGTCAGGAACTTTGAATTATTCCACATTAAATATAATCTGAAATTTGCTTCTTTTTGCGAACATTTTTTTATCAATCAAGCTTTTTATGTTTTTTTTTGTTTCATTCTCCCCAACTTATCAGTAAAAGACGTATTAAAAATCTTAATAGTTTTTTTTGTACGAATCGATATTTTTCTCTTTAAATGAGTTCTGTTTCCCGTCGATCAAGATTACTTATCGATAGTTTCAATCGTTTACATAACTATTTGCGTATCTCGCTAACAGAACGGTGTAATTTAAGGTCATACACATATTTTCATAATAATCAAAAACAACATTTTTACAATAATTTACTCTGTATAGATGTCAATATTGTATGCCTGAAAAGGGTGTAGATCTATCACCAGCCGATCATATACTAACTACAGATGAAGTTTTACGTCTTATTCGTATTTTTACAACCTATGGTGGAATAAATAAAATTCGCTTAACAGGAGGAGGTACGTTGTTATAACACTTAAGTAGTTTAGTGGTTATTTCATGCGTATTTACTTAGTGGAATATTTATTTTTATTTCATAATAATTTGTTTCTTTTTTTTTTTATAGAACCAACAATTCGTAAAGATCTCGTTGATATTGTACATGGAATACGTTCATATCCGTCGATTAAAACAATTGGTATAACAACAAATGGTGTTCTTTTACATCGTTTACTTGAACCACTTGCTAAAGCTGGTCTCAATTCATTAAATATATCATTAGATTCATTAGTTAAAGAAAAATTTGAATTTGTAACAAGACGTGCAGCATTTACACGTGTTTTAACAAATATACGTTTAGCATTGGATATGCCAAATTTATATCCATTAGTTAAAATAAATTGTGTTGTTATGCAAGGTATAAATACAGATGAATTAAATGATTTTGTTGAATTAACACATAATCAATCAAATTTAGCTGTACGTTTTATTGAATATATGCCATTTAGTGATAATCAATGGAGTGAAAAAAAATATTTTCCATATGAAGAAATGTTAAAAATAATAAAACAAAAATATGATTTAGAAAAACTTATTCAAGAAGATAAAAATGATACTACAAAATGGTATCGTGTAAAAGATAATTCTTATCAGGGAAAAATTGGTTTTATTACATCTATGAGTGAACATTTTTGTGCAACATGCAATAGAATTCGAATAACAGCTGATGGACAATTAAAAGTTAGTTTTATTTAATACGAGATAATTTTATATTTTAAAAAAAACAAAATGTCTTTAGGTTTGTCTATTTGATAATAAGGAAATATCTTTACGTGATGCTCTTCGATCAGGTTTCAATGATGAAGAAATTTATGCATTAATACAACGAACATTATTTAAAAAGGAAAAAGAACATTTACCAGTAGATATTTTATCAACAAAAGAAAATCGTCCAATGATTTTGATCGGTGGATAAGGCAAAAAGAAACTACACCTATTGTTTATTTATACATCAGCAATACTTGTTACAATATGATTTGATTTTTTTTTTGTTTATCAAATCCTTGATTGGTTTTATTTGTTATTATGTTTTTATATATGTTGATTTTTATTTTCATTGAAAAAATAATAAATGTTACACGTTTATTTTGTTTCAGATAATGTTGAAATCAAAAGAAATTCTTCTCCTATTTATAATCACTTTTCTTGGTATAGCAATAGCACAAGAATGTGTAAGTAAATATTTTGTTTTTTATTTCTTAATTTACTAATAAACTATATGCTATTTATGTCGCTATATATCACTTCTACTTACAGCTGTTCATTTATATCAAAAAAAAACGATCAATGATGATCATTAACATTGAATATATATTATTATTTAAAACGAAAAGCAAAAGTGAGAACTGTCTGATGTTTTTAGAATATAGGCAAGGTTAAGGTGTTTTGTTTTTCACCTATATTATATTTAATATAGTGTTTCTTGATGATTAATTGCTTGGTTTTTTTGTTTTGTTAATCGAGCTTTTTATCAATGTCTCATATAATTGAAAGAGAAAAAAAAAATATTTTGTAATCATAATAACTTGATTTATATGTTGAATTTCATTTATAATTTGCTTGAAAAATATTTTTCAATTTAGTCTGAAACAAAATATACTGTATCGAAATGTTATAAAAATGATATTAATGAACAATATCAATGGTTAATTGAAATACCGAGTAGTGATCAATCATGTAAGGGAAAATCAGTTGCTCAACCTAGATCTATTCCATGTGGTAAGTACATTTTTAATAATTATACATTTGAAATTAATAAACTCATTTTTATCTTTAATTAGATTTCAAATGTGAAAAAGGAGAAACATTTGATAGATTTAAACTTGGTTGTCAAAGGTGTACTCCAGGAACATTTTCACTTGGTGGTGGTCATCAATATACATTTAATGATTTAGATGGTCTTAAATCAATACCACCAGAACTTTCTCTTAAAGCAACATCATTGTTTTCTTTATACGATAATGATTGTAAAAATAAAGAGTAAGAATTTAATAAATTTCAATCTAATTTATTGAAAATAAAATGTATATTTTTTAGACTTTGGAAAGTTAAGGGAAATATATTACAAGGTGATGCACAACCTAATTGTGCTATTTATCTTTCACTTCCATTTAAACTTCAACGAACTGGAGCAATCACTATAACATATAATTTACCTACATCATACGTTTTTGGAACTGTAAATAATTTATAATATAATTTATTTTATTAGAATGAACAAAAAATTTGATTTAGATTTCATCACGATGTGATTTTAGTATTACAAAGAAAGATGGTGATGATTATAATGATGATGATGATGACGATAATGATGATGAAAGTCGTTCAAAAAAACATTCTATTTTTAGTTTATCACCAACAGGTTATGGTGTTTGGAAGCATAAAAAAGTAAAACAGAGATTTCAATTTTTATTATGTTCTATTTTAAATTGATTCATTATATAGATTACTATTGATGCACCAGGAGAATATAAACTTTCATTGTATACTATTAGTCTTAATGCATTCCATTTTCCATTTGGAATTCGATCAATTGTTATTGAAGGTCAGAAATCCAAAAAACAAATAATATCGGTTCTTTTCACTTGTTTGTATTGTAGGAAGTTTAGCCCTTCAAGATTGCATTCCATGTCCACCAGGTAAACTAAACACAGTAGTTATATTAATTTTATCACTAATATGTAACAAATTTGTTAAGAATTGTTAACAATGATAGAACTAATATCATCACAAGTCTTATTTTCAAATATTATAGTGAATAGTAAAATTGTAAGAACTTTCAGACTATGATTTGTATTCTTCACAGTTAATAATCAGAGAAATTCAAATATCTATCATATTTTTTCTTATATATACACGTTGTAAAAGAATTATCAATAACATTTTGTTTCATCCAGATTGAAGTATACTATCAATCTTGATAGATATTATCAAAACATACACTTTCGAGAGAAAATTAGCTCTGATATGGTTCAGATTTTAATCCTATAGGAATTTTTATGATAGCTGTGAATTTTCTTTTTTTTTAGGTACATATGCTTCCGAGTCGGGTTCTGCTACTTGTAAACTATGTTCACCAAATACTTATGCACAACATGAAGGTTCCACTAGATGTTTGCCTTGCAAAGAAGGCGCTGAATATGCAGGTAACAAAAAAAACAATTACTCAACAATTAATTTCATTTATTGAATATCAAATTAGATGAAGGATCATCAATATGTTTACCAAGACCAACATGTGAACTAAAACACTATCAAAAAGTCTTTATTGGATGTGATAAATCTGATACAGTAAGTTCATGTTTATTTTGATGAAAAAAATAATAATGAAACATACAAATCTATTAGGCAATAGTTAAATATGAACCAATTCAACCAAAGGTTTGTGTAGGTGATCTTGCTTCTACAGAAAGTAAATTACCTTGTGGAACATGCAATCCGTTCGTATTTTGACTCTTTGTTTTTTCGCTTTTTTTTATGTAAGTTTTGTTTTTATTTTAGTGGCATGTTTAAAAATAAAGATACTGGCCGTTGTGAATTTTGTCCACAAGGAACTTATTCGAATGGAATTTCAAATGAATGTCTTCTATGTAAAAATGAATTATCAGTATTACCTGGTTTATATTATAAAAATTGGAATGAACTACCAATCTATCTTAATAGAAGTTATATATCTTTGGATGAAACTAAAAATTGTATGTGTATCATTTTATTTCATTGATTTAATAATTGTTTTCTTTTTTTTTATTTATTTTAAAGTAAAGCAATGGATTCATGATCAAAGTTGGGTTCGTAATTAATATATGCATTTATATATATATATATGTTTGTTTTGATTGTGTAATTTTTATTGAATAGATTCCAAGTATAAATTATATATCATCTCAAGCAGTTCCTAATACATTATCTTCCTTAAGTTTAAGTATTATTAAAGGTTTTCGTAGAACAGAGTTAGCAAAAATTAGTAAAGAATTTGGAACATTATATTTTAATTTTTCAATTCAATGTCAATTATCATGTACATTGTTCTTAGTTTCGCAAGTAATTTTAATAATTAAAATTATATTAAATAAAAAAGTTTTATTGGCTAGGAGCTCTATAATAATAAAAATGATTGGGACGTCATTCAAAAATGGACTATAAATAAAACAATTGATCACAAAAATATAATTGACTATACGTATGTTTTAATCGAAATAAGAATAACTCGTTCAACGATGAAATTAGTCCTTCCGTTGAAATTGAGTTTATTATTTCTTCAATAGTCAATTTAGATGTCAGAAGTCAGTTGCTATTCAAATTAGACCGTTAAACTTAAGTTTCGCTACCTGCGACTAACTGAAAACTCGGTATTATCGATTTTCCATAGTGTTATACAATGTATGGTTTATCTAGAACATTCTTTCTCTACTCTATTGAATTATATATAAGGCTATGATAAAACATTGTTATTTCCCTTTTACTTTTAGATAACATTGTTCACTTGTATGTACAATATAAGGATACTCATGATAAAACTCTTTCGTTATTGAGTTGTAAAACCATTGATCCATTTTGAATCTTATATGATTTTATAGACTTTTCAAAGTTTTGCAAAATAGTAATATTATACTGAGTTTAATTTATGATCAAGATAATTTAGTCAACTGCACAATATTGATGAGTGTCAAAAGTTGATCTTTTCGATGGATGTTTAAGGAATTTTGATCAGAATAATTATACTTTCTGTAAAAAGAAATGATGCATTCAGAGACTCTGGGGCTATAGGTTTTTAAAAACTTACAAGTGATCTATCTCAATCAAACTTGTGTTTTCATTAATTTTATTTTTTGACGTAGTCTTGAGTGAAATCATCGTTGTATTTTTTTAAAGAAAATAAAAATTACCGAATGATTTTGTTACAAATAAACATCAACTCAGTTTTTTATGCTAATTATGGATATATCATTCGTTTTTATAGAAAACCTAATTATTTTGACAGAAACTGGTCAAATAACCGTCGAAAAGAGCAACTTTTGACATTTATGAATATTTGCGCTTGACTAAACTATCTTGACCACAAATTAAGCTCAACATAATATCATTATTTAGCAGAACTTTGAAAAGTCTATAATATGATATGAAATTCAATAGCGAGAGAGTTTTATCACACGTGCTCTCATACTGTACATACAAGTGAGCAAAATAATTTGAAAGATAAAAGGAAGTAACAATATTTTGTCATAGTCCGATATGCTATTCGGTAGAGTAAACAAAGAATTTTCATTTGATATATAATTCAAATTGAATGAGTTGAAGACTAGAGGAAACTTCTCATAAAAATATTGCATGGCATGAATCAATACAAGATAGATAGTATTGAGTTTCGAATCGACTAACACATAGCTATAATGAAATTTGATTATTTAATTCGAATGATAACTGACTTCAGAATTTTATTACTATTGAAAAAATAATCAACTCACTATCGAAGATAGATCGATTTCATCGTTGAACGATCTATTCCTCTTCTATCTATTGTTAATTATTAAAACGTCTTTGTTTTATTAGATACTCAATTCAATATTCTGATGAAATTACATTTAGTTGGCTTTTTGCATCAGATGATACAGATGAAGGTGTTGATGAAGTTCGTATTTATGAAATTCGTGTTACAAATACAGCACTTGGAGGATCTGATCGATGTGTTAGTTGTTTAACGATAGATAATCAAAAAACTGAGTAAGAATAAATAAAAAAAAAACATGATTTCATGATTAAATTTTTTGTTTAATTTAAACAGATGTAAATCATGTAGTCCTGGTCATATATTATTAAATAATACATGCATTCCTTGTGCAAAATCTACAATAGCTAGTCGCATGCGACCTAATGATCTTGTTCCAACAATATGTAAACAATGCATAAATAATACAATAACAGATGATGGTGTTTCATGTTATGTACCATGTAAACAAGCATTTAATGAAAATATTCAATATGATTTAAACGAAATATCAACGTATAAATAAAGACAAAGATTTTTTATTGTTGTTAGTTTTTATAAATGTAATTAATTGAATATTTTTTTTTAGAATTGAATTTCATGGTTCGAAATTATTTACACAAAAAGGTAGTGGTTATTTTCATGTATTTAATGCAAGTATTTGTGGTAAAACAAGTGTAACTTGTGGAAAGACATTAGTACGTAGAAAACAAAAAGATAAACTGTAAAACGTTTATATTTTTTTTGTTTTTAGACATCAGATGAATTAAAGAGTTCAAGAAAACAAACAAAAATTGACTCGAAATTATGTCGTATGGGTTCGGTACCAGATAAAAATGGTGATGCAATATCTGTAGCCTATGTTGATGAGTAAATATTGAGTTCTTTTTGTTTTTTCGAAACACGATCTAAAATAAGTGTTGAATTCTATTGAATAGAAATTTAGACATTCCCCTCATGTCTATCTCACAGATATTGTACTAATAGTTTTTTTTTGTTTTGTTTTTATTAGTTTTGGTGAAGAATTATTAAATGTATCATTATCGACATCAAAATATTTTCCACCTCTTCGTTCTGATTATAATTTAACTGATATAACATTTGTTTATCGAGCTAATGCAACAACTAGTCAATCAAGTTGTTCAGAACGTATTACATATTTATCATTACGTTGTGATCATTTATTAGATGATGAAAAAGAAAATTTATCAATAAAATATAAATTACAAACTCCAAATGATTGTGTAACTGGTACTTGTGATGGATGTATATTTTATTTTCTTTTACGAACACCTTTGGCTTGTCCAATATGTAATAATGATACGAATGGTTATCGAACATTTTTTGGTCCATGTAAATTTGGTCGACAAGAAGTTCGAAAAATACCTTATCCGTATGTTACTTTTAAGATAATTACTTTTCTACTAAATAAGATGTTTTTTTTTATAAATAGATATTGTTCACATAATTTAATTGAAACAGTTGAAATACATCGATGTTCTATGTTATCATTGGAGTTACAAATAATTTTTGGTTTCTTTTTTATAATTGCAGGCATATTAATATCAGTAGTTATTATGTGTTGGAGAAAAAATCGAAAGTAAGTATAAGAAATTTTAATACAAACATACATTCATTTTTCTTTTTTTTAATATTATTCTTAGACTTGAATATCGTTATATGCAATTAGTTGAAAATGTAAATCCGGATGATGATACACCAGTTGATAATGTTTGTGCTCAAATTAGTGACGAAGAAGATTCAGATGATGAAGTGCAATTTAAAACACAATCGAAAGCTAAAAAATTTATGAATGTTGTTCGAAAAGTTATACGAAAAGTAAATATTAAAAAAAAAAACAAAACTATGTTTTATTTAATGAATAAATTTTCATTTTATTTTATTTAGAGTTCTAACAATGGAAACAGTGAATCATTAGGTCGTGACAGTTTTTTATTGACAAGTACATCAACAAATGATGTTTGAATCTGACGACATTCCTTTAATTGTTGCCTTTTTTTTTCTTACTTGATCTGCTTATTAGAATCTTAACAGTGACGTCTTTTGCTTCGTTTTTTTTAAAGTTATTCTGACTGACAATTAATTTATACTTGTTTGCTTCTTTTTTTTTTTTGTATTCTTTTCTCTAACTTTGTTCTACCGTCCGTTGACATATTATAAAAATCTTTACTCAAACATTAAATCAAACTTATTTAATTCTGAATCTCTTGTTTTTCTTCTTATTGTTGTTTTTGTGTGTCAGTATTTATGTTTTGTTTTTGCATGTCAATATTTAATTAATATATAAATGTCGTATTTTTATCTTCAAAATATAATTTGACAGTGAAAATAATTATAAATAAGTTCGAATGATTTTATTTTATTTGATTAAATTATAAATGACATTCTATTCAGAAAGATTTCAATTTAATGAAAAAATAAAATAAATAGTTCAAGAATTCTTAGTGTTAGAATTATACAAGTTTTATAATTATTTAGATTGATGTTTGTATTTATTCAAACTATGATTATTATTATTATTATATATAGACATTGTTGTCTGAAAAACAAATTTACTAGATTAAAAAAGATTTCTCTAGAGAAAGCTTCAAGAATCCTATAATTTCTTATCTAGAATAGCGGTTGCTGAAAATAGTCGTTTCTAAAACAACGATAAATCTCGATTTCAATTCGCTCAAAACTCTCTCAACAGCAAGCATACTGATACTATTTTTGAAATGATAACTTTTAAGAATTTACCATTATACAGATAATTCAACAAAATTCATTTACCTATTGAAAAAAAGAATCGATAATACGCTGAGCATAATAATTGAACCTTCATGTACTATCGATATTTATCAATTTATTAGTAAAGATCTTGTCCGGTTATGGATAGAATGAAAACTAAAAGATAATTGTAAATAAGTAAAGTCTTAGAAATAGTAATAGCATGTACACTTTAATTTATATTGATTCTTCGAATAGAATAGAAAGTTGTAACAAAAGAAAAAAAAGTAAAACTTTTCATATATACATTGTAGATGACTTCTATGACATCTTTTATGCTGTTGAATAGATTCGTTAGACTTCAAAAGTGTTTTTTACAATCGTATATCTGGCTATAGATGATAATATACAGTGTAGCATCTTTTGAAAATTTAATACTAAACCTTTGTTTCTTCACAAAAACAGTTACACAGCAATACTTTATAATATCAAAATCCAGAAATAATCAGAATGAATTTAAAATCAAATGATATACGTCAATAACTAAACTAGAAAATTTTCTCACATTGAAATCATGTTCTTCTTAAATAATACATCTGTGTTTTTTTCTCATCAATCGACTTGCTATTGTAGAAAATATTCATTTTACTTCTACTAAATTTTATATGTTGAAGTATCCATATTTTGTTTGTCATAGCAAATTTAAAACAGTGAATAATATTTCATTTGTTTTTTTTTAGCAAAACATTTTATTATTCAAGAAAAGAATAATTTACAATTGTAAAGTAAAAACAAAAGAAACTCAGTTATTACATTTCATAATGAATATAAATGCTAGTCGTTCAAAGTATTTCGACTTTAGTATAATCGATTTTTATAGTAAACATAATACACGTATTATATAAAAGATTTGCTTATGCTAACGAATTTTTTTTGTTTTCCTTGTCTAGAAATTAATTTCATATTCAGAATATGATTTTAAACCATTTTGAATTCATGTATATTTAACAAGATACAAACAACAAATATTTAAACATTATAACTCTATAAACGGTCATAATTCAATGGAATCGAACTTTTTTTTTTTATAGTTTTGTTTGACATCAAAGAAGAAAAATAAATTATGGGAAAGAAAGATGATAGAATATAGAATTGATGCAATTTCACAACAATACAAATCGATTTCATCTCTATTTTCAACTGATTTATGACTCAAACCAGTTTCACATTCAATTAGACCGTTATTTACCGAAAAAAAAAATAGAAAGAAATCGAAAGATTCAAGCTTTATAAAGTAATCGACGAACAACCAAGATTTGTCGAAACCAGAAGTCAGACTAAAAAAAACATACTGCAATTTTCTTAACGAAATCTGATTTAATCAAGTCTGTCATATTAGGATCTAGCAAACAAAATGTAGATTGTTAATACTTCCTTCTACCTTCAAAATTCAAATATCGACTATATGAAGCAAGTGAAAAAAAAGTTATAGATTGTTCTTTGCAGAAATTATTTGATCATATCTTTTAGCATACAGTTCATTGTATGTACCGACGAGAAAATTTATTAACATAGATTATAAAGTATGCATCTAAACAATAAACATTATTATAGAGTACAAAAATTCTAAAATTGATCTATATGAGAACTATGACAGATACGTATTCCTAAGAGACGCTTGCATATAGCATAGTAGGTTACTATTTATGAAATTGTTTTTTTTTTGAGATCAGAGAAAAAACGATTTTTTGTTTTTGTGTATAACTTTGATGTATTGTGAAAATAATATTTTCTTACTGAATCAAAGAATAAAAAAACAGTTGTTACTCAGCATGATCTAATATTTGATTTTGTATTTTTGATCGTTATTAATTAGAAAAAAAAACGGGCGTTTAAAGATCAAGCAGGTATGAAACGTGATATTTTGTCTGAAAGAAAATGTCTCTATATGAATATCTCATGGAAACACTGATAAAACCAAGAGGAAAAAAAGTGAAATGTTGAAATTCTACAGAAGTCGAGATTCAGAATTCTCTTTATTCCATTGGATTTCAACATTTTGTTCTTTCATTCTTGGACAAAGTCACTAAAATTTCTGTTTCAGTCACGATTTTCTATAAGAATATCAAACAATAGGCAGAAAATCCGATACTTATAGGAAGGCTAAGTTCCACCCATTGTCTTTCCGGCATTCATTAAGCAGGTGCTACACCGCAAATGCGCTAAACATGTAACGTGATGCTTCCCTCTATAGAAAAAGTGTTCCACCTCATGAGTATAATGTTCCTCTTATAACTCATAACGGTCAAGATAGATGTAACAACGCCTACTTATATTATGAAAACATGTCTGTCCGAGTACGAACATCTTGTCAAACGAATGGGAAGTCTATTCAAGGTTGCAAAAATCATTTGAATAGGATCATCTTAATTGAATGCTTATGGTCATACGAAAAATTCTTCGAATTATGCAAGAATCTACATTGTTGAAATCCTATCTTGTGGAATACTGATATCGATCTGTTCATAATAATATGTTTTCCTCGATTCTTCAGGACGTTCGACGTCATTGAATGAAATAATTTCTCTCATTATAATCTTATTCATCTCTTACTTCTGTTTGTTTCGATTTTTTTTTTGTTGATAATCATTAGTCTGACTTGAATAGTAGTATCAACTATCGTAAACTCATAGCAATTATGAGAGAAACATTAAACTCATCAAGAGAAACACTTTTGTTCTATGAGTGACGCTATCTATACGTTCATATGCGATATATTAATTAGATGGTGAAACACTTTTTCTATTGAGGAACACTAACTTAAATGTTTAGCGTATTTACGATGGAGCACGTGCTTAATGAATGACGTCTTTCCAATCAGCAAGCCTATATGAGACAAATGACGTATATTTTTCTTTAATGGTATATCGTATGAAAAGATAATCGCCTACTTTCATATATCCGTTCGATAGAAAATATTAACTACTAATAGAAAATAAATTAATTTAATATTATTCTATATTATAATTAATTTGTTTATATGTGCAAATATATTGTTAAAACAATTCATTTCTTGTTAATAACAAAACTGATAGATTATTATTATTAATTGTATTCGACAGCTGTTCGAACAAAACTTATATAGATTTTCGTATTTCTTTTTTTCTTCTAGTTAAAATACCAGCTGTTTGTCTATCTTTTGCATGAATCATTATATTTCATTGGTTATTTTATTGTCCAATGATTAAATTAAATTTTTAAATTTTTTTAAAATACAAATGCATTTAGTTAAATATGCACTGTATAATCTCGTGATCTAACATTTTAATTTCGAATATTTATCTTGTTTTCATTTTCTTTTTTTTTTTTTTTCTATGATATCATTTAAATTTCTCTATCTAAATATAATATCATTGGTAAAGAAAGAAAGCAAAAAAAGAAAAAAAAAGAGGATCCTCGTGGTGGCCAAATTTATCTTAAAAAGGCTGCCTGAAACATAAAACGTCGACATCAGTCATCATCATCATAATTTTACTTTTACCTGTTGTGTTTTTATTTAAGTTAATTTTTTTTTTTATCTTGTAGATCAACAACAGATTCCGTTCTATCTCTCTTTTCTCATTCGTTTTTTGAATATCAGATACAAAGATCAAGAATAATAATAATAACAATAATACAAGATGAATCCTGAATAGTAAGTAATCGTGACGATCTTATTTTTTTCGATTATAGAAAAACAAATAATTGATTAATTTTTTTTTTCTTTTAGCGATTATCTTTTTAAATTATTACTTATTGGTGATTCTGGTGTTGGTAAATCGTGTCTTTTATTACGTTTTGCTGTAAGTTAAATAAACAGAAGAAGAAAAAAAAAAAAAACAAGATAATTCTTATTAAAATATTTCAATTATTAGGATGATACTTATACTGAAAGTTATATCAGTACAATTGGTGTTGATTTCGTATGTTATATTTAATATATATAAATTTGAAAAATTTTTAGTAAAAAATTTCATTTAGAAAATTCGAACAATTGATCTTGATGGTAAAACAATTAAATTACAAATTGTAAGTTTTCTTATAAGAATATATATATATATATTAATTTAATAAATTTTATTTAGTGGGATACAGCTGGTCAAGAACGATTTCGTACTATTACAAGTAGTTATTATCGAGGTGCACATGGTATTATTGTTGTTTATGATGTTACCGATCAAGTATAAATAATTCAAATGATAATATGAAAAAAAAAA